AGGCCCTTTCCTTTTCTGATACTCTGTTGGAGTAGGGGATGGCTATACCAACCTCTAAGAAGATCAATTAATGAGACAGTTAACAACAACAACAAACTCATTTTCTGGGCTGGCAAGGTGGCTCAGTGGTAGAGTGCTTGTCTCACATACTATGAGGCCCTGGGTTCCATTCCTCAGCACCACCTAAGCAGAAAAAGCCGGAAGTGGTGCTGTGACTCAAGTGGTAGAGTGCTAGCCTTGAGCTGAAGAGCTAAGGGACAGCACCTAGGCCCAGAGTTCAAGCCCCATGACCAGCAAAAAACAGAAAACAAAACACATTTTCTTTCTTTCTGTAGGTATTGGGACTAGAACTCAGGATCTTGTACTTGCTAAGCAGGCATTCTACTACTTCTGCCATACCCCAACCCCTTTTTTTTTCTCAGGTAGGGTCTAGTGCTTTTCCCAGCTGGCCTTGAACACGGATCCTTCTACTTCCAACTCCCTTATAGCTTGGATCTGGCTTGGACCACATCTGGCTTAATAAAAGCACATTTTCAATGGCAAAATATTGCATCAAGCTAAGTAAAGCTGAGCAGGGCTTCCCTGCCTTTGCATAACGCTGTGCCATTTTTTACTTTGTGAGAGATATCTAAAGAGGAGAGAGAAGAGGGGACTAAAGGAGGGAACTCAGCAGCCAATGGCCTTTCCCTTCACCCTGGAAATGCTAAACCAAAACACAAAGAGGAAGAGGGACGTGGGCACATGTTGGGCGGGGGAGGGGGGGTCCTTCGGAAGAGTGGGTAACATGCACAGAAACGTAACTGTTCCCAGTGAGTTTGAGCTCTTCCAGGAGGATCTCATTCCCCAGCTGCAGATACCAGACCCAGGGCCTAGGAAGAAGCCAGCCTGGAAGTCTCTCCTCTGCCCCATGCCCATCCATTCCAGGGCATCTCAGTCCAGTCCAGCAGCCAACAGCTGGCTGGGTCAACAATCTGTAGGCAATCTGGGCCACAGAATAGGCACAGGAGGACAAACACAAGAGCCGGGGCTCCACCGACTCTGTGTCTAATCACTATAAGGCATTTGACAAGTTGTCACAGTGCACTGGAATGTTTTTTCCTCTCTGTATGATGATGGGGTTGGACTAGAACAGAACCCTGCTGGCACCACAGTAACCCCCATTTCTGGTAACAGGCAATGGAGTTTCCAAACAGAGGCCTATTGAAAGCCATTCCCTGCAACCTCAGCCAGGAATACCGAACTTTTCCCTCTGGTTCCGGCCCTCAGGCAACCCTGTCCCCTGCTCCTAACCACAGTGGAAATCTGTGAACTCATTTTCCTTCCCTCCCTGAAGCAAAGGGAAGGCAGGGAGGTGGAGAGGAGCCAGCCGCAGGGCAGCATGGGAGGAGGACATGAAGGAGGGCTGGAAGACTCAGCACAGAGGGCTGCTACAGAGGACCAGGATAAAAGACACAAACACCAAGATCAAACAAACCAAGCTTTATTCAGAAAAGCATACTGGTAACCACCACTAAACTACTAGATGAGGCATACCCACCCCTCTCCCTCATCTCCTCACTCCTCCTGTACCAACTCTCTCTTGGCCTTCAGAGACACTGAAAAAAATCACCTTCTAGGTCCACAAGTGGCTCCCAGACTTTGTGACTGGAAGCTACTAAGGTAGTCTTAAGATGGCCAGACTCCTGGTGTCAGGCCTACAAGACAAGCCCCAGTATCCAAGTGCTCTGAACCTGATAGGTGGTCAGACCCTTGGCACAGGCCCTGGAGGGTAAGGGAGGTGTGATGGCAGTTTTATCTGTCCTTCTCACATCTGGCAGAACCAAAAGCCTGCCAAACTGCTGGAAGCCAATCAGGAAGGCACTTCTGGAAGAGCCAGTGAGCTCTGGAATGCTACAGGTACATCTTTGTAGATAAGGCACTGGGAAGATCAAGATGCATGCTCCTGAGTAAAGCTGCCTGGACACAGACAGACCATCAGGGTCAGGGACCAAGAAAGAGACCTGAGCTGAGGATATAGTTCAGATGGTGATCTTTAAAAAAAAAAGAAAAGAAAAAAAGGAGAAGGAGAAGAAGAAGAAGAGGAGGAGGAAGAGGAGGAGGAGGTGGAGGAGGAGGAGGAGGAGGAGGAAACAATGACCACGACTATAACAAAAAGGAAAAGGAATAAAAGCTGGAACTAAAACGCATTATTTAGGAAATAGGGCACAGATCTCAGGTCCAGGTGTCCAGAATCTTTTGTCCAAATCATAAGAGAATCAGGAAGGCAGAGTCAGTCTTCCTTGGCACCACTCTTCTGTTGGATGATGTGGGCAGGAGGCTGTGGATGGAAGATCTCCTCTCTTCCACCTGTCCCTCTGAAGTGAAGATTCCAAAACCTGCTGTTAGGCTCGAGCCAGAAAGGTGTTGCCAGCCAGGGTGGCAGGTCCCAGGACAGAGCGGCTTGATAGGCTCTGGGAATCTTACCACCTCAGCAACATGGAAACCTACAACAGAAAGAAAGTCCTGGACTGACAAGCTACCCAGATTTCCTAGCAAAGCCCACTCCAGGGCTGGCTGGCACTGTCTCTCATTGGAAATAAGAGCCAGTCAACTCTCCCTGGAGCAGGGCTGTGAGGCCCAGCCTACACCTATGGGAAAAAATGTTCTGGGATTTCCCAGAGAGAGAGAAAAAAACATGAAAAACATTTTTAGTGAGTAGAATTTCAGTTCTGCAAGATGAAAATAGTTCTGGAAATTGCTGGTGTGCCAGTGGCTCATGCCTGTTATTCTAGCTATTCAGTAAGCTAAGATCCAGAGGATTATTGTTCCAGGTTATCCTAGGCAGAAAAGTTCACTAGATTTCATCTCCAAAATAACCAGTCAAAAAGCAAGGCTAGGGCTGGGAAGGTGGCTCAGGGGTAGAGTGCTTGCCTTGTATGCATGAGGCCCTGGGTTCCATTCCTCAGCACCACATAAGCAGAAAAAACCAGAAGGGGCATTGTGGCTCAAGTGGTAGAGCGCTAGCCTTGAGCTGAAGGACAGCGCCCAGGCCCAGAGTTCAGCCCCCATAACCCCCCCAAAAAAAAGGCAAGGCTAGAGATGTGGCTCAAGTGACAGAGTGCCAGCCTAGCAAGCACAAGGCCCTGAGTCCCCCCCCAAAAAAGCAAAGTGCTCATAGGGAGTGGGGTATGGTCAACTGGTAGGGAATTGAGAGCATGGTCAGCACACCTGAAGCCTTGGGTCCCATCCCCATGTAGTCTCTTATATTCTGGTTTCTAATACAGAGAAGGCTCTTCTTCAAAGCACGGACCTTCAAAGGATTTAGCAAAAAGGTTGAGTTTTCACAACTCTGATTACTGTCACCCCTCCAACTTTCTCTGAATGAAAACCCTTTCATTTTAGGGAAAGGAAGCGATGTGCTTTTTTTGGGGGGGGGTCTTTTCTTTTTTGGTACTGGGAATCAAAACCAAAAGACATTGCACTTGCTAGGTAAGTGCTTTGCCGCTGAGCTACATCCTGGCCCTTGTGCTATGCTTTTTGTTCAAAATCTTATCACTCCTTCCAGAAAACCAAGGAATGTCTTACCTTAGAGATGAAGCCAGCTGTTCACCTGACTCCAGAGACTTCTCTTCCCTTTGGTGGGCACTGCCCAGGCTGCCAACTGATCACTCAATGCCAGGGTGTCAAACAGCTGACTGTTACTACGTAGGTAACTTGGGTTCCATTTTCTTCAACAATATAAGGGAATGTTCAAGTTCACTCGTTCCCAGGTCTCTGGCCAGTGAGGAACCAGCTAGTTCCTTCCTTTCTGGGGAATGTCATCAGTTAAGAGAACTTCCTTGGGTCAGAAGAGCTTCCCAGATGTTCAGTAGGTTGGACTGTGGGCTGACATCTGAAGGTAGGTAACACTAGCCCAGGCCTAGATGTAGTTCCTGCAGCCAACTCAACCTCTGTGCTTGGGCTTCTTGGACTATAGGCATCCTGAGTCCTTGCTATGCTAAGGAATATCAGTCTCCAAAAAAGGAGAGAGTGTGCCACTGTCAAGTGCAGCTGGCTTCTGAACCCTCTTGCTGCTGGCTCCTCAGCCAAGTTTCCTGGACCAACAGTGCTGAAGAGCACAGACACCCGATTATCTTAGACTGGCTGTTCCCCAAAACAGGCTCTGGGTAACCATCTGTATAAAGACAAAGCTGGGGTGGGCCTCACCCCAACATTCGTGTTGATGGCGTGGAATCCCTAATGCACAGATTTGGAGGGGTGAGGTGGAGCGGAGGCTGGTGAATGAGATCTAAACAGACCACCTGTGCCATTTGGGGGCCAGGAAACTTGTGTGTTTGGGCTTGGCCTGCATGAACAAAGCCGGAGGAGGCAGAGGCAAGCGAAGACCCCGCAGGCCTTCCTCATCCATCCCCCAACTCGGAAGACTGGCCCCACCCCCAAGTCACCAAAGCACCCAAGGATGGGCAAGGAGGGCCCGCAAGATGTCTGCACAATGCCCAAATAAAACCCAACTTGGCAGAACTCATGGCGCGTGCCGGGGCCAGCGCAGGCCTGTCCCCAGCCCCACCCGTGGCTGCCAGCCGGCCATTTGCAGCACCTGAAGCTAGGCCCGGGACCAGGGGCTGGGGAAAGGAGTGGCCTTCCGAAGGCCGGAGGAGACGGAAGCAGGGGGCAGGGGGCGGGGGTGCAGCTCTAAGACTGTTTCCAATTTGTGAGCTTCTCCGGAGATGTATCTCCGCGGCTGCGTCTGTCCACGTCTCGCTCTCAGTAGGGAAGGAGGAAAGGAGTTGCAAGGCTTCTCCTGGAGCTGCCAGGGGGGGAAGCGGAGATTGGGGAGGTGTCTGGACCCGCCGCGGGCGCTCTGAGGGTGCACGGAGACGGCCGGCGGAGCTGACATCCCGCTGGAAGTGCACGTCGGGGGTCCTGGATGCGGGCGGCAGTGGAAATGCAAGGCAGCGGGGAGGGTGCCGGGGCGCGAGGGGGGGGGCGGCGACGGCGGGAAGAAGTCCGAGGGTTCCCCCGCGCCGATCGGAGCCTCGGGCGGCCTCACACTACCTCCTGCTTGCCCTGGTAGCGACGGCAGCAGCCGTAGAGCGCAGAGAGCAGGTAGAGGCCGAGGCACAGGCCGCCGCAGACGGAGGCCGCCAGGAAGGCATGGTAGGCGCAAGGCAGTGGGTAATTCTTGAGGTTGCAATAGCTGTGGCGCTGGGTCTGGTCGATCATGACGCCCGTGGCGGCCCCGTAGAGGGCGGCCGCCAGCAGGTCGTGTGCCACGTTGACGACGAGCCAGCGCGAGCCCAGCACAGGCACCAGCTCGTACTTGCCCAGCAACGTGAGGAAGTAGAGGCCCAGGGTGAGCAGCCAGAAGAGCACCGACACGAAGAGCGCGAAGTGCACGGGGCCCTGGTACTTGCTGGTGGCGATGGTGACCCAGAAGGCGGCTCCGGCCAGCAGCTGCAGCAGCCGCAGCACGCCCAGCGGGCCGCGCAGGAAGG